CTTACTGTCTACATTGAGGCTAAAGAGCTTCAGACAAAATCCGGATAAGTTTGAATCTACAAAAATCACCATTTGCACAATCGACAATGACTGACATTTAAATGCTCACATGAAGTACATGCCACTAACACACATAGACATGGTGTCATGTACTGTAGAGAGAGAGAGTTCACCATTAAACCCTCACCTGTCTCTTCTCCTCAGGAGCTTTGAGGAAAAGAGCGTTGATGACAGCAATAGTGTAGGTCTGTATGTCCTGGTCAGTCCTGCAGTGGGAGGAAGTCATTATTAGTATTTTACACAGTGACATTTAATAATAATAATAATAATAATAATAATAACCCCTGCAGATGTGGGATGAGCTGTCCAATCGTGATCTCCTGCGCCACCTTGTGGTACAGATCCTGACTGTTCAGCACCATGGACTCCAGTATGGCCAGGGAGCGCTGCAGCACGGCTGTGTCCATGGCTGACTTGTTCACATAGCTGGCAATCTGCAGAGGGGACAGAGCAGGAGAGGTTAGGTAATCTGAAAAAACAAAAACCTTTATTTCATTTTTGGAAGGTGGCGCAAATGACATATGATGGGTTTACTCCTTATTTTCAAGTAAAATTACAGCAGGACAGGAGCTTTATTTCAGTTTTCTTTATTTTTTTTTTTTTTGGCTGACCTTTTGATGAAGGCCACAGAGAAAGTGTCCCAGGAGACAATGCCGTGGTCCATCAGTTCCACGAAGGCCGTCAGAGTGAAGGACAGCAGGTCACCAAAACTACAAGACAACACAGGGACAAAAGAGAAACACACAAACCATAGGAAACTTTTCTCTGGCAGATGGCTCGGAGCAGTGTGTAGCTGCAAAGCCCAGATGGTTGGGTACATAACAGGGAATGAGTGATCAGCAGAGACACAGAGAGGAAAGGAGGGGACAGAAGAACATAGGTTCAATGCTGCGACCAGCCTAGCTGAAGGAAAGAAAGAATAAAAAACACACAAAAAAGAAGATATGGAAAGACGTTAGCTGTGCAGTGCAAGACAGACTGGACTCCAAGAAACAGTGGGGGCCGTCAGGGGGGCCAGCAGGAAGCAGAGGGTGGTGTTCAGTCAGGAGTTACTTTAGAAAACAGAGTCATGCAGTTACATAAATATAAAGAGAGAAACAGAGAGAGTGAGATCACTCCGCATGAGTCACAATAGGCCAAAGCAGAGAATTGAAGACACAGCTGTTGTATTTTTTAGAATGTCAATAAACTAAAAATAACTAATCAATTATTATTATTACTATTATTATTATTATTACCATATATTTGAATTTAAATATGCATGTTTGACCTTTAACGTAACCTGTTGTTTAATGTGAACAGATTTGACATTGGCTTCACAGCACTGCCCTCTATTGACGAAATATGGCATTACAGACGGTGCTGTACTAAGTCTTTTCAGCAGATGTTTTTGATGCGTTTTTGGAAAACTCTAGCAAATATGGTCATCTAATCTTTGGAGACTAATCCAGACAAAGGAGCTGATTTTCTACTGAACACAAATCGAAAAAAGGAAAACGCACGGTTTTATTGTCTAACTACGATTTTTTTTAAAGAAACTTTTTTCAAAATAAATGTCTTTTAAGTTTAAGAACAGATGACAACTTTTCTACTTCAAAATAAAATAAAGGTGCATTTTCATTTCTTTATTATATATGATTTCTGCTTTATGGTGAGTTTAACACTGTTAATATTTGGGTTTATCTTTGTGTTTTGTTGGCTTTTGACCCGCAGCTGAAGCACACAGAGCCATGTGCAGATGACCGTCAGCAGTCAGGTAACATATGGAAATGTTGAATACTTGAAACAACATGAAAGAGCAGAAAGCTGACATCAGGGAATAGTTTTTCAAGGACAGAGAGTGAAGACAGGTAGATGGTTAGATAATAACATGGACGTTAAAGAGAGAAAGTGAAAACAGACTCAGAGCCAAAATGGAAAAATCATCCCTCACTTTAGAAGACGTCTTAAAAAGAACACCAAGATTGTTTTTTTTTTAAATTATTATTCAGGGATGAACTCTCATGTCCCTGGACTTTTTAATATGTACTTTATATGTCACAAAAACAAAAAACAAAAAAATGAAAGTATAAACATCTTGGTTTTCTTTCAGTTTGATCTATCTATTTAGTTTGTCCAAGATGACATGCAAAACCAGGTATTAGGTGCCACACAGTGTCAGAAATAAAAGCTGGTCAGTGACTTTGTTACACATTGATAATTTCCAAAAAAGACCAGAGTCTTAATCATGCAGACTCAGTACACGGGTTAGGAAGAGCACAGAGTAATCAATGGTTTTACCCGGATGGGGGGTAAGGGTTAGAGTGGGGGGGTGTGGTGGGGTGAGGCCTTACCAGGGCTTCATAATCTTCTGTAGTTTCTGATAGCGCCTGCAAAGATTTGAGAAACTTTGGTGTCACAGTCGGGAAACAGACGCACAAACCTTTCAGCTCTGAGCCACTTCACAGCTGGGAAACACCGACATCATCATATTCAAAAACGAACAATGATCAGAACCAAGTCAATTAAAAATAATAATAATAATAATAATAAAAAGGGTTTTGGAATAGAATAAAAAAAAGATGCTTTTCAATGTGAGTTGCACCGTGCATTCTGAACAATTCATGCCGGGAAACCTGTTGTTACACATTTCACTCACTAGAGGGCCTAAGAGTCGAGGAGGCAAAAACAGAAGCCGGCCCAAGTCATTTCCACACAAACGCAGTAAACTAGCAGAAGCACTAAATCACAGCAACACTCAAAGAAACGAGCCTTTTCAACAGTTACAGTTCATCCGATTGTCGGGAAATTAATGAGCGAACGTGTGTTTGTGTTTGTGTCTCAGACAGATATACACTTCCCTCCTTCACTCTCTCCCTCCTCAGCGTGGCCTTTAAACTCTCCAGTGGTGAGTAAGTGATGTCTGAGTTCATTTACATAAAAAACATATTTAATGAAAGAGCCAATGGGCACAGTGGAGTCAACATGGCTGCCGCCGTGATGGATGGCACCTCAGCGGGAGATTAAACTGGGTCAAATGTTTGCCAATTTTGAGAAGGAGAAGAGGCTCAAAGCAATATTCTGTTAAATTAAAAACGTAAGCGCAGCTGAGCTGCTAAAACACAGATATATAGTTTTTTGTAATAAAATACTTAATTGCTATTTTTCCCAGCAGAAGAAAAAAAACAGCTGAGAAAAATGGCCGTGTGATAATATTCAAAGCCCATCAGTGACTAATTAGTCGACCAATCACTGCAGCTCTACTAGTGAAAAAGTACTAAACTTCTGTGTTCTCTATTTTTTTCACAGCTCAAGGGGATACATAATAAGAGCTGCGTGAGGCAGAAGAGGAGAGAGAGTCAGACTGCTGCTGTCGTCTTCCTGCCAGTTTGCACCGGATGTGAGACTGTAATGTGTAACTGTCACCTTTCTTTTGGCTCAGACTGCCTGACACCTTATACAGCATTCACCCAGTATGCTACACAAACACATTCACTCACACACACACACAGAGACAGACACACACACACACACACAGACACTGCCTCTTGGCATCAGAGTGGAGAAATTCTAACTCAGCAAAAACCTGTCCTCACTCTAACCTTCAGTCCAGACTGTGTACTTGGATCTTCAGTCTCGACAACACACTCACACACACACGTGTGTATGCATTAGTGCAAATCTCTCCTAGCGCAGTATCACTTTCATGGACCTCAAAGACGGGCATGACAGGAGCCCGTGGGCATGAACAGAATCCAGGGTTAGCACTCAGAGCCACGGTACACACACAGGCCATAACAGCCTTGTTTGCTCAAAGTGTGTTTTTTTTTTCATATATATTTTTCTGCAATTTTTTTTATTGCCAGAATGACAACGAGTAAGTTGGAGAGTTTTCTACTTTTCAGGGTATGAGACATTTTTTAATATCCAGCTGTGACACCGCACACCTTTGCCCATCACACGTCGGAGAAAAATGATTACTTTGGCTTTAATAGATTGCAGGGTGGTATTTTTCTCTCTTGTGGCTTGTCAGGAGAAATGCTGTTATTATTGGCCGTGGTCACATGATAAATGTAGGGCCATTAAACAGGATTACTCTGCCGAGTGTAATCAGAATGCACCGTGCGACTCCGAGGAGTCCGTGCAAAGTTGGAGAATTAAAAACTGTGTCGGAGCGAGTTAGAAGTCACAACAGACTCTGTGACCAAATCCAGGTTTGTCACTTCAGTACAGACACCGTCTCAGATCCTGCCGTGACGGCAGCTAAGAAGACAACAAGCCACTTACTCAGTCCCACTCTCCACCATCTGCGTGAGCAGGGAGATTCCGTCCAGGTTGATGAATTCCTGCGCAAATGTGATGTCACGGGACGCATTAGCCAAATCCTTCAGGGCCTCCAGTTTGGCGTCCATGCTGGATGACTGGATCCTCTCATGGAGCTGCAGGGCTGTCTGATACTGCAGGGCAGGAATAAGAATGAAAAGTGCCGTCAAACACCCAAACCTATTATAAAGTATTATAATGCCTTTATTGAATAGGACATGGTGGAATGGATTATAAAGAAATATCCGTACAAATAGAACTAGAAGTAATTTCCTGCAGGAACACACAGACACTGTAGAGGGCAGCATTTCAACTCAAATGCAACATAGTTGTACCTAAGATTTCAAGGTAAAAAGGTTGGATTGAGGGTTAGGGTGGGATCAACTCACAGCCAGGTGAGTTTAATTTTTTTTTGTTAATTTAAATAAGCATTACGTTTATGTTGTTGAAGAGTTCTTATGAGGAAAACTCAACAAATTGAGAGGCTGAGCATTTTACACTACATTTGTAGCTCCCCCTAGGGGGTTGGAATGAGAAGCAACCTTTGCACAATATCTGTGTCAATACTATAATCCAATATTTAAAAAAAAGTCAAACAAAACTTACAGGAGATGTGGTCAAGCGCAATATGGAGCCATTCTTGATGTCATTGCGATTCTGTTGAGGACATTTAAAAACAACAAAAACACGTCAGGCAGTTTTCCAGAGCATGGTGTAAACTCTTTGCCTACTTCCTGTCTAGAGACAGAAGTCTGACCTTTTCTGTGATGTAGAAACTCGTAGCATCCGCAATTTGCAGAGCAAAGTTTTCATGGTTCCCCAAGGACCACCTGGAGACCACAGGACAGAGAGAGAGAAGTTTCAAAACCGATACCAGAAGGAAACACAAGTCAAAAACAGCCTACAGTAACAAAGACAGGCAGACAGACAGGAGACAGAGAGACAGAATTTGTTGTACTAAAAGAAGAAATGTAGATGTAGACTCACCCCTCACACACTTCTTTAATGATGGCGGAGAGAGGCTTTTTCTGTTGAAAAAAAAAAAAAGCAAAGCTACATTTAGTTCACAGTCCGATCTCCAGATCCAACAATAACAGTCCACTCGGAGTGGACTGCAATTATTTTATATTACAGGACTGGCATGATGAGGCACTGTGTTTTTTTGGGACGCTGTATTTACATGGCAGTCCAACGGTTGATATGGGAACGCTCATCATGTCAGCTGGACAACCTTCAACCTTTTATTATTCTACATGAAACTGATCCAAGGTGGTTAAAGCTCTACCCAAGGCATTGTACTTAGATTTAAATGTATGCCGGAGTTGCTTTTATGTTATAGCAGTTTTGGTTTTATGTCAAGTGACTGAGGTTTTAAAGCTCACTTTAATTTTGATGTATTTAGTTTATGTAACATCATGTATCATTTTGGAAACATTTGCTTTCTGTATAGTAGTACAGATGTGGACGTCAGCCAAAAAAGGAAGAAGAAGAAATAAAAGGCATTTCTTACCAAATGGTAAATGGTAAAAAGGCAAACTTGTATTTATCCTTACAGGCTTATTAGCTAAGCTAACCAACAATAAAATGAATAAATTAAATTAAAGAGCAGTTACCAAACTTAATGGGATTCGAAAAAAAAACAAAACAACAGAAAAATACCCAAAATAAAAAGAGCAAAACTAGTTAAAACAGGTAATTTTACTACAACAAAATTATATTTAGTAAGAATTGGCAGCTAATCAGCTACAATAGGCAAAAGCCAACACATAAACAACTGAATTTATGGCTTAAAAATGCTGAAGATGCTTGAAATTTTGTTGAGAAATTGATTACATTTACCAAGAACAATACTAAATTTAGGCTAAGTCCGAAGGTTTGCTGAAAAATAAAAAAAGGGTTAAGGTTAGACAAGGCTAATGCCCACATTAGCCAAGATAAAATTAGCCTGAAATGACAAAGAAAACCTGTATAACTAAATTTCATATATTTTTTAAATTTGTAACATTTGTAAGTCTTTTTTAAAAAGAAATTGTATTGATATACAGTCACACTTGAATTAAAACAAAAGTCAAGACTTAAAAAACAGATGCTACAATTTCACAGCATTACCATGCTTACGATTGTACAGTAGGAGCTGCATTTTCTGAGCATATGTATGGAACACACTCAGGCCTGTGGATGGTACTGTACTGTATGCTAATGACTGCACTGTTTGCTGGCAGCAGCATCTCAGCAATGAGAGACGCTGCTGCGGAGAGCTGCAACGACGGAGAGGTTCAGAGGGAAGATAATGGTGGACGCATAATGATGATGATGGTGCAGCGTATACAATACTGATGATGATGGTGCAGGGTATACAATACTGATGATGATGGTGCAGGGTATATAATAGGGAGGAAAGGACAGAACATACAGGTGAGATGATACAGGAAGAGGAACAAAAGGATGTGAGAAAAGGCAGCGGCACGGAGAAGAGCAGCAGAGTGGATAATAACAGTCAGGAAACAGTATTACCTGCTGTCATGTACTTCCTTTAATATATATTTGAGATAAAAGATGGGGGGGGCACCTAGTGTTTTGTATAATAAAACGTACACGCAAGAATGTAGAGGATTTTATACAGGAAATCACATTAAAAATTAGAGAAAAATTGCAAAATTGCCATTTTATATATATTATTATCATGACCATGTTGTTTTGTTGCTGTATTTATTTAAAAATATTTGGACTAGGGGGAGTTAAACTCAATTCTGCTGCTAATTTGAACCATAAACAGTCGAGGTGAGTAAATTTAGTAGTTGTTGCCACCAATTCTGGTTCCCCTTCACCTTGGCAGATATTTCTACAGCCAGTGAAAGTTCCAGAAGTTCCACAGAGAACCTTCTACCCACTTGAAACAGACTGATAGTTTGTTTTCCCTTGTCTTATAGAATACAAAAAACATCTGGTCAGCATCTTGAGGCTCTGTTGCTAACGCTCCTGTAGAGTAAAACAACATTTGATCGAATGCAGCCAGGGTCTTTTCTTTACGCCATTATCCCCTCCTCTCATGTCAAGGTAAAATATTTCTTTAAAACAACAGCCACCGTGAGGATTCACGCTTGTCAAATCAGCTTAAATGTTCTGTTGGTTAATAGAGTTTTTAAAAACTCGTGGGCTAAAGTGAATGACGACAATTTAGATTCCTGATCCTTTTTTCTTCCAAAATGAATGCGATGATGTCATAACCAGCCATTATTGTCCAGCTCTAACACATGCTTTTGCACTTATTCATAATAACAGCATTGCATCAATGTGTAATATGACCACAGTGTGAGCTGCCAAGAGTCGAACTAGTATAAATTCAGTGGAAAAAAACATCACAGCAAATGATATTGTCATGTCGACCAATCATAATCGACATTTCACTGGCATCGCTGATAACACAACACTGCTGGAGTGTGTGTTGTTAGGTTTGAACAGAGATGAGAGGAAGTCACAGAGTACAGAGGAAATGTTACACTTCCTGGTGTTTTTCCCTAATAAATGGAGCCTGAGCTCGTGCTAAGATAAATCCCAGAGTTCTCCTTCACCATCTGTTCTGTGTGGGGCTGCTGAAAGTGTTGATGCTGATTCGTCGAAAAAACAAACAAAAAAAACAAAACTTTTTTTTTTCCAAGACAGGGTTTCATCAGTTATTCCAAAATAAAGAACCGATTCCCAAATGTTGGTCTGCAAATATAGAACTTTTTAGCCTGCAGGAAACTGATGATGTGGAAAGAATCAAAATATGAACTAAACAAGGGAGGGAGAGAGAGGAAGAGAGAGAGAGAGAGAGAGAGAGAAACACTGTCAAACACAGCAGAGGGACACAGACAGAAAAAAACAAAAACAAAATCACAAATTAGATAGACACACACACATCCTCACATTCCTAACCAAAAGGGTACCAGCACACACACGAAGATGCGCAGGCATGTGCACAAACACAGAGATGCATGAATGGTAACAAGTATGCATGTCAACACACAAACACACCCACACCAATTTTAGTTATGCAGACTGGTGCCCACATAAATAAACATTTTGCGCGCGCACGCACACACACGCACGCACACACAAACACAGAGCATGGATGGCTGTAGCCCACTCCCCATGCATGACTCAGACAGCCATATGCTACCGCAGGGCCCATTGTACAGAGGAGATTCAGAGGGAGGAGGACGAAGTGGGGGTTGATGTTGGAGGACAAGAGCGGAGGAGGAGGAGGAGCAGGAGAAGGAGGAGGCACAGCAGAAGATTCACACTTCATACAAAAGAAGGGGAGGAGGAGTGAGTGGGGGGGAGAAAGAAAGCAAAGCAGCAAAAGGAGGAGGATGAAACAGAGAGGAGAAACAAGAGAACCATGACAGGATGAGATAAAACAATTAGAAAAGAGCGGCAGTGGAGGAGGAGGTGGGGAGGAGGGTGTGTGGAGATGTAAGGACCAAAAACGGGAGCTGAGGAGCGTGGGGAAGATGCAACCGAGAGACAGTCCTAAAAGACGAAAGCTGCGTCCTTAAATCTGTAGTTCAGCGTTTCATTCAACAGTTGGCCCATTGACGATCCACACAAGGCTTCGGTCGGCACAGTGACTCATAGCCTGTACAGTTATTAGCCCATCTGTGAGTCACACTCAGCGAGGAGGCCTCTCTACGCTGGGTATCAAACACTGTCACAGTAAACATGTCATCGTGTCACACCCAGGAGGCTGCGCTCACTGATGGGACTCATTATTTTATTATCACAGTGACCACTTTTTGACACGGGCATCTGCTGACTCCGGTAATCATCGGTGGATTCATTTTCAAACACCTGCACTGACCCTGTCTGAGGGGTCTTCACAGAGTAACGACCGGGCAATTAGCTCCACACCACACGACAACCAGTAACACGTTTGATATGTTGTTTTTCCCAGCAGAACAACAGCTGATGATGTACAGTATCTATATCCCAATACATTTTAAGAGTGCAGTTAAGGGTGTGGTTCTCAAACTGGGGGGCGGAGGCTTACAGGGGTTATAGTGCTAATTGGGCAGTAAGTAAAAATGGCATTTATTTATAATTCTTAAGTTCTTTATTCAATGAGAATACAACTGTTATACTATACTGTGATTATTACTATAGAAAATATATATATTATATATTACAATAATATTAATCAGTAACAAAAAAGTGTTCATGAAACTCATGTGAATTTACATTTAACGTTACTCATACTGTAATCATAGACCTTGGTGTTAGCTGTTAGCATACAGACCACCTACCTGGTCTATTTCCATTAGCCTGGGGAAGGCCCCCGGCCACTCAATGGCCACCTTGACAATGTCTGCTGGCGGCGGCATGGCTGCCGGGGGGCGGGGGGTGAACCTTAGTGTGGGTCTGGCTGCCTCACACCTTTCCTGGTACACGTCTCTACTTCTGAGGGAGGCTCATCCAAACCTGCAGGACAGGAGAGCATGGACAAAACAGAAGACACGTTAGCACAGAAACCAACCAATGAACTTTCATTTTCTGTCAGACGAGCGACTTCCTTGAACACACTAACATCTTTACCAGCATTTGGCAAAAAAGAAACTCTTGACTTTAACAGCCTAATCCATACTGAGTTCCTACAGTTTCTGGCACTGTTTCTAGTAAGCACTTAAAACAGAAATCAAGCAGAGATCAGAGAACACTTTTTTTTGTTGCAGTGATAAGCTAATTTAATTTACAGCTGTAGACAGACCAAGGAGCAGCAGTGGTGGTGGGCCGCAGTCTAATTACATTAAAGTTTATGTGCAAATGAGGTCACAGCAGGTGAGTAAAGAGAAAAGGTTTTTTTCAAGGTTCTTAGATGAAAATGTTAATAACTAACAGAACAAAAAAGCTTAATGTTTCATGTAGTGGGGAAGAGGAGGGGTGAAGGGGTCAGTGAACTTTTCACTGAAGTACGAGGGGAGATGCTGCAGCATGACACCCACAGAGACACACGTTCAGCAGCAGCTCCAGGGTGTGTTGAACAGAACATTTCCAACATAAAACAGCTTGCTACCCTCATGACAAAAAGCATAAATACAGTCATTATAATCAGTTCAATTCTGCAGCTGGTCATTACCTGCAGATGCTTTGGGACAAGGATGTAGATGGTTTAATAAATCTAAGACCCACAATTTCATGAAAGTGTCACCCCAATGACCAGAGAAGACATTACAGGAGAAAAAACAAAATTCAATTCTGTAAAACGAAATGTGCTTTTCACACATTTGCTCAGACTGGTGTAATAGTCCGAGGTCCTCATCAACTTTCTGGTACAGAAAACAAAATCGATGTTTGGACCACAGCAAAGCTCCTGAGCCAAATAGTGAATATCCCCCATGATTGTCAGGCAAACTTCAGTCGGAAAAAACTTTACGTTTTAAACCTTTTCTCCCGCAATGTCACAGATGGAGGAAGTTTTTGAATTATTGAATGGATTTTTGGAGTCTTTTTAAGCAGCTCACATTATTCTTTAAATGGCTGGGACTGCTGGTGGTCGTTAAGTTAATGATCATCATTCTGAGTGTCCACTTCATTTGTGTTTATGCTCAGCAAAGCCACAGAGCTGAGAACAAAATTGCTATGAATGATGTAACAATCATCCTTTTACAGGTCACTGCAGTGACGAAGCTATCTGAGAGAGTAAAAGTTACTGGTTTTGTGAGGACTTTTGAGAGGACACATGGGTAATATATCTGACTAAGGACGGACCCGACCGAACCCTCTGTCTTTTGAACAGAGATAAGCAGGACATGGTCTGGTTTCCTGCTGTGGACAAAACAGACAAGTCACAGGCCTGTTTTTACACGTCGTCCTTTTTTGTCAAAATTACAGCAAAGAGTGGCTACAGACAGTGGCCGAGGCAGGAAGTGTTCACGGTCAGCTCTATATTGACATTTGTGTATGAATAATGGATGTCTTCTATACAGTAGATACATTTATATTTGGCTGTAGTACCTCTTCTGATCAGCAGAGGCTGACGCTAGGACAACTCTGGTTGCAAATGACATCAAATCACAAAGGTTCATTAATTACAGTTTATCAGGAATCATCATGGTCTAATTTCCTACACTTACTCATTGTTCTGCTGGTTAATTGTTGGTGATATTAGAGCTCAAACAGGTTCTAAGTAAAAAATTGTGTCTTCTGTTTTTCTTTGAACACAACATGAAGCTAACTGAGGGTATCAAAAAGCTATACATAGCTGTGCCCCATTTATGTTTTAAGAACAGAAGCTGCTGGCAACATGTTGCGACTCAAGGATGATGGATTGACAACACAATATATATGGTTGCCAAGGAGGACAAAGAGAACAGTACTGGTACTGAAGACTAGAAAATCAGCTGAGGGGAAGACTGGTGATGCTTCTCTGTTCAAAACAGATCTTACATGTCCTGCAGTGAGCTGATATCATTCCAGGTTTTCTCAGTCTAAACTTTGTTTGTCTTGACGAAAACAATCTAATCAGACACATCAGTGGATATTTAACAAAAATCTATCATGGGGAACGACACAATGACGGGGATGTTATCAATAATTAACCTGCTCAGTCTGCCTAGAAACCTTGAATCATCCTTATTTCTGGCACAGGGATCGTTTTACATATTTATTCCCAGTCCATTATGCATCAAGATGAGCTTGGACCAGTGCCCCGTGGACATGTATAGACTGAGAACCGACACTTGGTCTTTAACTGTTAATATTACATGTACGTGTGGACAAACACTGACAATCGATGTTTGTGTAGCAAATACAGCCTTCTATGAGAGTTGAATTAAAATATTAATTTGAATGATACTCCAGCCGAGGTACTGAGAATAGCCTGGCGTTAGGAGTGAGTCACCCCATAATAATCCACGTAGCCTTTATTCAAGGGCCGTTGTCATGGCAGCTGCTGCATCAATAGCTTGAGAAGTGGATGCATCTTTCTCTCCGCAACACGTGTCACACTCAAGTCACATTCATCGCAACTTCACGAAAGTGACTCAGTCGACTGACTCAGCCAGCACTTCGATGCTGTTATACTGCAATTACACCTCAGATTACAGCGACGTGTGAGATAAAATAACTACTTCCTGAGACTCTTTAAAGCCATTCAGGGCAGCGTCGTACTCTACCCTATCGGAAGCGTCACGCAGAGGTCTCTATATTCAAACGGCTTCCGGTCAAAGTTTGAGCGACTGAATTAGCTGTGGGAACGATGTGTTGAACACACAGCAGTGAGGTGTACGTGACCCGTGTCACAGGCCAGTCAGTGACACAAACACACAAATCAGCAACACCGTCCCGCTCGTGTGTCCACTAACAAAAGTGCTTCTGCGTTGAATGTGTGTGACTCATTCGTTGCACACAATAGCATCAGATTTGAAATCAAATTAACCTTCACTGAAACTGTACAGCCATAAAAAGCACCGCATCTAGACAAGCACTCTGTCTCACGTTTCAACATAAATACACACGGGCCATTAGGGTGTAAGTATTTCATACTTTTTTTATATTTGAGTGAAGGATCATTAATACTGTATCAGTTCATCTTCTACTGCTAAATCCATGTAAATCATATCCCTATGCTATGTCATGTTGCGCTATGCTATGCATCATGTTTTTTTATATTATGCTGTGGTTTGCTGTGTATGCTATGCTATATTATATTATGTGTGTGCCAGCCCACCAAACCTGTCTAAATTGTTATTGATTTCTATCATTAGACTTCTGCCTTTTCCCTGCAGTGCCTACATTTCCCCAACTGATGGCGTAGAAAAGGTTTAAAAGCATTTTAGCATTTATGAACGCTTCATCTATTTGCTCCTGACCTGGCCCCCATGTCAAAATTTAGGACCCACTGTGGCACGTGGGTCAAAAGGTTTGCCAACACCTGAACTAGGACGTGTCACTAATAAAATGACTCAATCTATTTTTCTTGGTAATTTATCTATATACTTTGTCAGTTAAAGTGCTTATGTGAATTCCCAGCACCTTGTCATTGTTTTCTGGGAACTAGATGACTCAGAGATGGGCGGCCTTGAGTCCTATTGATTGAACACACACACACACACACACACACATGCACGCACGCAAGAGCATGAACACACTGCTGACACCCTCAGTAAATCCTTGGAAAAATAGCCTCAAAAGTAATTGAGAGACACACCACTTGAACACACTGGCCTGTCTTCAGCAGGACTGACAAATTGTCCAGCACTTATTTGATTGTGTTTTTCCTGCAGTTGCACACTGCAGGACACGACTACTGAGAAACAAGAAGTTCACACCTTAAATTGCAGGAAATGGATAAAAACGACCTGCCCCAAGAACAGAGAGGCCCTAGAAAGTCCCCTGCACCACGTGGTGTCAACGTGGTGTCCCACAAGTTCCCCTGTGAGTTGTAAACAATCAATTAAATGAGCTGCGTTGCTGCCATCTAGTGACATTCACTTTAATATGATCAGACATGCCTAGAACTGTCTACAGCATTATGGTCTCCTCAACAGGACCTCTCCAGAGTGAAGGCTCTGTATGTCATCCTTAGTGTTTATTATGGTCTGTCAGACTAGGCTTTTCAAATCTGTCACTCTGAACCTCACTGCAGCCTCTTCCCAGTGTAAATAAAGCCTGGACATCGACAGTGCGCTGCTGTCAGGACTCATCATGTCAGAGAGGTGATTTGCTGCACCCTGGTTTTGTTGAGTGCTACTGCGCTTACTTCTCACTCTGTCAGAAGGTTCAACAGGTTAAGAGGGCGCAGAGCTGCTTTTTTGCCGAGCAGAAGGATTTTTTTCAATACTTCAGTGGCTCTCTTTTTCTCTCTGTATTTATAATCCCTTGTTTATTTTTCTATCTGAACAACTGATATTTTCTTCTTTAATATTTTACAGAATTTAGCAAGAAAAAAAAATTCTTACAAATATTAATCATTTCACTGAACTCTACCTACCCAGTGGAAGAAAATCGTTAAAAGAGTCTGAGCATTTTATCCAAACACCCACCAGCTATGGGCAGAGATATAAGCCAGTGCCTAACTGTAGTCATAATTCTTTGGGATTTACTGCAGAAAAACAAACAAAAATCAAATCTCGTGTTACCCTCAGAAACCTGAGATCAGATCTGCAGCCGAGGGGGTCGAATTTAAAGAACAAAAACATCAATAAACGAGGGAGAGAGTGTAAGACGAGAGGGAAAAGAGACAGGGTGAGAGGACCTGTGATTTGGTGGACAGCCCAAGAGAGACGAGTTCCACCTCAATAATTCATAATGTGTAATCTGAGGGTCACTCTCCCGGCAAGGAAGAGGGGGTGGGGGAGTGGGGGGGCAGGGGAAAGAAATATAAAGGCTGTTTAGATCTGAAGGTGAGAAACACAGAACATAAGGGAAAAAAGAACCAC